AATGCTACAAACAAAAAAATAAGGTGGAAGCCAGACAGCGGTGGCGCACGCCTTTAATCCCAGCACTTGGGAGGCAGAGGCAGGAGGATCTCTGTGAGTTCCAGGATAGCAAGGGCGGTTACACAGAGAAACCCTGTCTAAAAAAAAACTTAAAAAATAAAATTAAAAAAATGGGGACTTCAAGAAGTGTGAAGTTGTGGAATAATATTTTTGTACACTGTGAAGACGTGTCGCTCGGATTGGTTTAACAAAATGTAGGACAGCCAATAGCGAGTCGGGATTTTCAGAGCAGAGAGGAGGCTAGGAAGAAAGGAGAAGATGCCAAGAGTCGCCAGACAGACGTAGAAGAAGCAAGACGTGGAGATGAGTTAACAAGCCATGGGTCTCAGGGCAGCGCATAAATCAGCAGAAACGGGTTAATTTAAGTTATAAGAGCTAGTTAGAAACAAGCCTAAGCTACAGGCTGAGCTTTCATACGTAATAAGGAGTTTCTGTGTGGTTTATTTGGAAACTGGCTTGCGGGACAGAAGAGTCCACCTACAAAGTGGGGACACAGCAGGCACATACCTCTAATCCCAGAATTTGGAGACAGAGACAGGAAGACCTTCTAGCTGGATCCAAAAACATGAGCAGAGTCTCTAGGAGCAGCGAAACGGAGACAGAGACAGAAAGACCTTCTTGCTGGATCCAGAAACATAAGCAGAGTTGCTAGGAGCAGCGAAACCGGAATCCGGTTGGTGGGAGTGGCCTAACGAAAGTGAAATTGTTGCTGGGGCAAACTTTTCATACCCGGCCCAAGGACCAGGTGTATCCTCCTACTTCTGTGTGTTACCCATAATCCAGCTCCAAATACGTCCGTGCTACCTCTGCGTAGGTGTCTCCACAGAAAGCTCCCTGGCCCATCTCAGTATCAGGCTGAAATTCTGCATCTTTCGAGCTCTCTGCCATGGCTTGTCCTGGTCCCCGATCTGGATCTTCGCAGCAGTGTTTACAATCTTCCGGCATTGATTTTATACTACACGGGAGTTAGTCCGTGATAGACAACCGCTCGCCTTCCATCCTAGGCAGGCATCTGAACACATGACCACACGGTTGCACCAGAGGGACACACATGGACTGTCCTGGTCCCACCGCAAGCGATACCGAAGCAAGACGGAGTTGGTGGCATGACAGGGTATCATACCTGGACCCTGGGGACGTTGCCTGTGACTCTTCTACACCATATGAAATGACCACAGGGTTGTGTGAGGGAAATTATATGATTATATGAGGCTGGGCATGGTCGTCGGCAGAACCTGTAAGCTGGTAAGACCCCCCTCCTCTTAAAGAGGAAGACAGTATCTGCACCAAAGCTCACTAGATATCATCTGGCTGTTCAGTAAAAGAGCCAACCAATCCTTGGGACATTTCAGTAAAAATGTACCCTCTGTACTGACTCTGGATAAATTGTCCTTTCCAAAACTCTTAAAACTTATGTACCAGAATCTTCATTTGTCCAATGTCAAACCCAGTTTTCTATATGAGGGATAGTTTCGGGATAAAGTCAAAAGTGCCTTAAAAATGTGTGTGTTTTGTTTGTTTGAGCAGGGTCTCTCTACAAAGCCCTGGCTATCCTGGAACTCACTCTGTAGACCAGGGTACCCTCAAACTCAAAGAGATCTTGCCTGCTTCTATCTCCCATGTGCTGGGATTAAAGGCATGTGCCATCATGCTCAGCAAAGGTGTATAAAATTTAAAGCATTTTTTCCCCAAATAGGACAGCAGTTTGATATCCTCAGAACTGCTACCATCTTGTAGGTGGTGGTGCCAATTAAAAACACAATCACCCACAAACAGTTACAGTATTCTCTTGCTTGGTTGGCAAGTCAGAGGGCAAGGATTTGCTCCATTTATAAATGACAGAGCTTCAGTTTCCTTGGCAGAGAAAAAACAACAGGCCAAACTGCTTGGTTTAGGCAAAATTTAAAATTTTAATGCTTTGGTAAAATCCAAGTTCGGAAACCAAATCTCATTTTTAAGGAACACAAAGGAAAAAGGGGTTGCGGGCCTTGTCTGTGGATGCTGCTGTTGTTTTGGTTATCTAACCCATCTGGTGTGAGGGCAGAGGTATCACACAGCAGTCAAGAAGAACCACATTCTTTCTCAAGGCCTGGTAATAGGCACTAGCAAATCCAGCACTTGCGGGGCTGAGGCAGAAGAACAGCATTTTAATAGACTCCCCAGGGTTTAGGCATGGCTTTGGCTTTCTGTCGGGTTAAAATAGCAAGCCTTGGGGTTAAAGCAGAGGACAAGTCAGGCAGGAAACCTGGGTTGTGGTTTCAGCAGTCAACCCAGTCAGGGTTCTGCACCTAACTTCTGACTGCTTCGAGTTTTCCTAATCAGAAGGGGAGTTCAGACAGCAGAGGGAGACGTAAGTACACTTTCATTCTGAATCCTGCGAGGAAGTTGTGGTGACCATTCAGGAGGCTTTGGTGGGCTCCCTAACGCCTAGAGGCATTTGAGCAAGAGGTCTGTCAGGTATCTGTCCTTTGAAACAAAGGTCTGACTGATTTTAAAAACCGCTTGTCAGTCAAGTATGGTGGTCACTCCTGTAGTTAGAGAGGTGGAGGCAGGAGGATCAGGAGTTCAAGGGTGGCCCAGGCTCTAGGAGATTTGATTACAAACAAAAACTATTGAGCCGGGTGGTGGTGGCGCACGCCTTTAATCCCAGCACTCGGGAGGCAGAGGCAGGCGGATCTCTGTGAGTTCGAGGCCAGCCTGATCTACAAGAGCTAGTTCCAGGACAGGAACCAAAAGGCTACGGAGAAGCCCCTGTCTCAAAAATCCAAAAAAAAAAAAAAAGAAAAGAAAAGAAAGAAAGAACTACTATTGAAAGCAACAAGAAAAATAGGTTATTTTTTTTAAGACCACAGATGTATAAAGGCAAAGAAGTTTTTAAAAAAAGAAAAAGCAGGAGCATTTATTTCACAGGTAGATGAACCCCTGGTTCCCACTTAGGAAATCAGGTCATTAAGGGAAGTCATTTACCCCAAAACAAGCCTTGGAAGAAGTAGTTTAAATGGCAGGAATTTTTTATTACAATGGAGAACAGAGGTATTAGATACCGATCAAAAACACTGATGCACCTGGGTAAGTGATTTACGCCAGTAGTCTTAGCAGAAGGGAAGCTGAGGCAGGAGGATTTGGAGAATTCCAGGCCAGCCTGTGCTGCCTGGTGACACGCAGGCCATCCTAGGCTATGGTGAGCTGTCATCTTTAACTACATTCTTCACCTGAAGTGCTCCCTGCAGAAGACACAATCTGGAGTACATGGTGAACCTGCCACCAAGCTGGTAGAAGTTAATTCTTCCAAAGGACAGAGAAAACCCAGAAAGAGGAAAATAACAAAACTGAGGCTTCTTGCCGTGGAGTTGTCTTTGTTTTCTGGCATTAAACGGCCAAACAAAGAAAAAGTGGCCATGAGGGCAGATCATCAAATCAGCGTAAATACAGAATAAGGTACCAAGAGCACCAGGGCACGATTTACCTGGGAAGAAAGGCTCCAAGCACACAAATAACTCAAGCGTGACACAAAAGAAGAAATTATTCCCCAAAGCTAAGAATTAAACGGGGGTGGGGGAATCAGGGTAAATGAAACAACCTGCAGAGATTCAGTCTCAAGGGACCACTGTGCAAAGATGGAAACAAGTAGGGGCGCTAGGGTGGGAGAAGCAGAAATGACGATCCCACAAACATCAATTCTGAAAGCCACCGTGGAGAAAGACCACCATACAAAAATAAGTGGGGAGGTTGGGAGGGGGGCAAAATACACATTTTTTTTTCTTTTAAATCAAACAGACTGTCGTTGAGCAGAGCAATGTGTAAAAGACTGGAACCAGCAGCCTTTGGCTGTCTCTAGGGAATGCACTCATGGGGCGGGGCGGGGACGAGGCGGGGGCGGGGGCGGGGGAGTAGGGTCTCTGGTTACTTTGTGAGCCCTAAACCCAGGAACTTGCCCGAAAGGTTAGGTATATTAAAATGCAAAGTACGAAGTGAAATCCCATGCTAAGGAGCAAGACAGTGACCCCAGCTTGTTAAAGGTGGGGGCCACTCCTGTAGATAGGGTGTCAAGTCTGGGATCAGCTAGGGCATTACAACAGATTTAAGAAAAACGGAAGTGCCGGGCGGTGGTGGCGCACGCCTTTAATCCCAGCACTCGGGAGGCAGAGGCAGGCGGATCTCTGTGAGTTCGAGGCCAGCCTGGTCTACAAGAGCTAGTTCCAGGACAGGAACCAAAAAGCTACGGAGAAACCCTGTCTCGAAAAATCAAAAAAAAAAAAAAAAAAAAAAAAAAAAGAAAAAGAAAAACGGAAGTGCTTTGAGGATAGGAAGGCCCCTGGGCCAAGCCCCCATTGCCTTACATTGTCCAGCAGGCTTCCTCCCAGGGCAGGCTGTCCTTGGGCTTTGTCCAGGCAGCCTCTACACTGAGGGTACAGAAAACAAAAAACAAAACCAACTTTGCTCCATCCAGGGCAGTTCATTGGATTAACAAGCAGGCATTTGAGTCCAGTAATGAGTTTAATTTAATCAGTCTTTGGCCCTCTTCAAGACAGAACCAAACTTGCATTTAAAAAGTGTCACAAGGGGCTGGAGAGATGGCTCAGAGGTTAAGAGCACTGACTGTTCTTCCAGAGGTCCTGAGTTCAGTTCCCAGCAACCACATGGTGGCTCACAGCCATCTGTAATGAGATCTGGTGCCCTCTTCTGGCCAACAAGCATACATACAGACAGAACACTGTATACATAATAAATAAATATTTAAAAAAAAATAAATAAAATAAAAAGTGTCACAAGTCTGGAAGCGCTGTGGGTGGGTCCCCAAAAGAACTCAGAAGGGTCCAAGGATGGAAGACAGGAAATGAACCCTTTCCTGATTAACCAAGGGGCAGCTCCCCCAATGCCCACAGTCCCTGGGGAAAGATCAGAATAGAAGGGAATGGGCAGGGTCTCGGTTTACTCACACCGGGCGATCGCCGGCTCCCCCCACTCAACAGTGGCTCAGAATGCCGCCTGTCCTCGCCGGAGACCTCCAGAAAACTGGACAGAACGAGATACTGGGAAGAACACAGACATCAGGAGGTAGCCTCTGCAGCTGGAAAGTCGGCCTGCACAACTGTCCCCAGCTGCTAGCCAGGTGACGTGGGCCAGCAAGTCCAACAGGTCCACGACCGCTGGTACCCGCCCAGCGAAAAGGACATCGCCCGGTTCCAACGACCAAAGACAAGGGCTCCAGGGAGATGTGAACGGCGACTCCCGGACCACAAAAGACTGAGCCAAGCCATGCTGGAGCCCAAGACCCTCACAAGAAGGCCCTTGGAAAGTGCAAAAAAAAAAAAAAAAGCCACAAAACCAAACTCACTTCCGCTTCTGTGGGCGGAACCGATGAGCCAAGGTTCCAAAACCCACCCACTACCCTCCTCCCCCGTGGGGACGCCTACCGGTTTCGGTTTGGAAGTGATGACGTGCTCAAACAAGCTCAAATGTCACCATAAACAAAGTACAACATAAAACCTGCAGGAAAAGAACTGAGTGTGGCGCACGCCAGCCCCCCTTTTCCTTTCCTTCTTTTCCTTTTCCTTCCTTCCTTTCTTTCTTTTTTGCGAGGTGTTTCTAAAGAGGGAAGATCACACGAATTGCAGGCCATCTAGAGCTACATAGTAAGACCCAGTTAAAAAATAAAAATCCATTTTACCAAGTCATTCAACACAAAAGCTACAGGTAAAAGAATTGTTGACCAAAAAGAAAGTTCCTGTAAGGAAAACATTCAGAATTCACTTAACAGTTAGACAGGACAAGGGTAAAGGTTCTTCCATGCTCAATTCCTTGCTGAGGCCCTTTCACGTTTAACTAGAATCCCACAGAAAATTGCCCAACTCTGTTCTAGGTCAAGGTGCCCCAGTTGGCTAAGCCTCTGTTAAAGAGCCTGCTGGTGCAAACCTGCCCTTCCAGCTCTCTCTTATCTTTTAGCATCTGTCAAATTACTTGTTTAAGCAAAGTGCCCACACCCCCACCCCCACTCCACCACCAGCTGCCAAGTGAGAAGCTAAGACCCGGTTTCTGCCTTCAAAAACCCCATGCTCCAGACATGGGGAACTACCCTGAAATCCTGAATATCTAAAGTATAGTACCAGCTGGCTGTAATGAAGACTTTTCAGTTGGCTACAGACTATGGCTGCCTGGGCTCCCAGCAACAGTGACCAACAGCCTCCAGCCCGAGGTGTTCAGGCGATGGGACCCGCGGGGAAGTAGCCCTTAAAGGACTCTTGAGCATCCGGAGTCTTAATCCTAGCAACGCAATCAAGAGGCAGAGGCAGGTGGACAGATAAATACCCGTGAGTTCACAGATGGCCAGGACTACATAGCCTTGTCTCAGAAAGCCAAAACATAAAAAAAAAACAATAATAATTTGCTTACAAATTTGTGATACGGTTGCTTGTGATATGGGAGAGCTGAACCTTTTGTTTAGAACCTTTTTTAAACCATAGGTGGCGGTGTGAGGGGGAGTCATGTTCTTTCTCATTTAAGACCATCCCCCCCATTGGTCAAGGTCTGACTTTGGCGACCCCCTACTGGCCCTACCCTTCTTACTGTAGAAGCAAAGGTTAACTAATAAAACCCGGAGGGATTTATTAGAGCTTAGATTTACTTCCAGGGAACACAGTGGCCTTTGTTCTATGGTGTTCCTTTGTTAATGTTCAAGCGAACTTAACTCTCCCAAGCAAATCCAGACCTGGTTAAGAGAAAACATCTTGAAATAATCAGACTTCTGCCAGTCTGAAGTGAGTGAAAAAAAGAGTAGGATCAGGCTTACTTTAAGGGGTAGACGGATGGATGGAAAGATGATAGATAGATAGATAGATACATAGATAGATACATAGATAGATACATAGATAGATGATGGATAGGCGGACAGAAGCGCTGAATTCTCAATTCCCAGGGAAAGCGTTTCTTGTCAATAACGCTGAAGTGCGTTGGGAAAAGGCAGAGGCACTTCGCTGTGCTCTTGAAAGTAAAACTGAGAGCATTGGGTAAACTCTCTTGAGCACGCACACAAGGAAATGATCCTGTTCAACTTTTCAAAAAATGGCTAGTTAGGACCTTTCAACTGCAGGAAATGAGTAACTCTCAAGACGTTTACGCAAGGCTATTGTGGCTCGACCAGCAAAGTTAATCTTCAGTTTTCCGCCTGGGGACGCAGGTGTGATGCCCCTGGGGTTCAAGGGTGCTCCCTCCTCCGGATGCTCAAGAGAACTTTAAGGGCTACTTCCCCGCGGGTCCCATCGCCTGAACACCTCGGGCTGGAGGCTGTCGCCTCTTGCGGCTGCCCTACTGGGACCCGCACAGTGGGAAGGGGCGCAGGGCCGCGGAGGTGGGGAGCCCGGCTGGGGGCGCACCGTCCAGGCCGGTGCCTGGCAGACCGAGCCGGCGGAGGAACTGCAGTCCTCCCCGCTCCTCCCGTCGTCCCCGGTGCTCGCCAGAATGCGACTCGCATTGGCCTCCAGGGCCGAGCCAGGAGGCTCACAGCTGGGATGGGGGGCGCGGTGTCCCGGCCGTGCACAGCGCTGCGAGGAGCGAGTGTGGCGCGTGGGTTACACCGCGCAGGTCACGTACCCGTCTGCCTTAAGTGGCGGCTGGGGTGGCTCAGGTCGCCGCGAACTTCACTCTGCGGACGTCGGATCTGCGGATCTGCGTAGACAAGATGGAGACACACGGAAACCGAAAGCCAGCGAGCGGACGTGGCGGGTGCGGCTCCCCTGACCTCTAGCACGGATTGGGCCTTGACTCGCTGTGTGTACTGGGGACCCAATTTAGGTCCTCTGCCCCTTGCTTGCCTTTATAAAGACAATAAAAAGGGCTTTGGATAGATTTGTGTATCACTTTTAATTTGTAGAAATGTTTAAATTACAGGGAAAGAAAACACAAAATAGCAAACATCTTTATTTCATATGTCACTCAGAACTGAACGTGTGTGCCTCTCATCCGGCGGAATCGCCTCAGGGGGAGGGAATTGGTAACCTACAAGCCTTCTGCTCCCTTGCTGTGTTCTGTTTCCTACTTATTCCTGTAGTTCCCCCTTGACTCCCAGGAAGTTTTCTAAGAAGAAGCCATACTTTTTAACGGCTGGGATATTAATTATTGACTGATAAGTTGAGTAGTGACTGTATTCTCATGATTTGGGAGGCAGAGGCAGGAGGATCAGGCATTTAAAGCCAGTCAGGGCTACCCAGCAAGTTCAGGGCCAGCCTGGGTTATATGAGATTCTGTAAAAAAAAAAAAAAAAAAAAGACAAAGACATTGGCTAATAAATCATCTTTCTTTAGATTTAAAGAACCCAGAATGTCTGATAATCTTCATATTGAAAGACCCCAGTGGTGGGCAGTCTTTCAGGCTGAGGAGACCCTCCCAAGGAGCAGCGAGTCACTCTTCGGATGCAAATAGCAAGAGGCTTTATTAAGTACTTAAGTACACAGGTACCTGGGGCGACTTAGTCTTTCGGAAGACAAGCGCGCCTGCAGACTGGGGGAAGGTCTTTTTATAGGAAAGAGGGCAGCAGAAGCAGATTACAGAAGCAAATGCATTGTTAGTGGTCAGTTGGAATGGGGCAAGGGGCACAGGGGGTTTTTCCTTTTCCCAGCACAGATGTATGGGAACAGACATCCTGTTAATTGATGTCCTGTCCGAATCTATGGATATAAATATCCTGTTTTGCAGCCAGGGACCCTGACCTTACTCTGCACTTACAGTCGTTCGTCAAAAGCTTTGTGAAATGACGTTACAGCAGCCAAGCTGGGATCTTTCATAGGGGGAGTTGTCTCTTCTGTGAATTACTGATATTCTAAGTTGGGCACATGTGCTGACTATAGACATCCTGTTTCCCTAAGCAAACGGGATGTTCTCATGAGAGCCGGCTAGCTGCAGGTCCTGAGAGGGTCCTGAGGGTCTTAAGCGAACAGGATGTTCTCATGGGAGCAGGCCAGCTGCGGGTTCTGGGAGGGGGGGTGTCCAGAGGGTCTTTCATTTCCCCCTTTTTCTTTTTTATGGATTTAATCATAAATCCATGTGTTTAAAAACCTCTACGTCATTCTGCTTTAATATCTGATATTGCTGGGAGAGTACCATGGTTTGGATAACTGAAAGCCTGTCTCTTATAAATTGTACCGGGCGATTTAAAATGCAAGGGCCGATTGTAAAGATGAGAAGTAAAATAAGTAGGGGGCCCAGCTATAGTGGAAATTAAGGTTTTTAACCATGGCGACTTATTAAATCATCCTTTAAATTATCCTTGTTGTGATTTAAACAGCTTTTGTCTCTGCTTTAATCTTTCTCTAAGTTTGATCATGAATCTTCTAACCAATCCACTATGGTCAGCATCTAAAAACAACCGAACCAGGCCCCTCCTGTCATGGAGCACCATCTCTGAAATATTTGCTCAGACAATAGCCATATGAAAACTAGTACAACTGATGAGACAAAATAACTCATACTTTACAGAGCAGTATTGGGAGAAGATAGTAAAACATCTCTAGGGTGTGCAGAATAGCTCTTAACAAAATTATCTGAATGAGGCTTGAAAGTAACTACATGGTAGACATTGTGAACCACTGTAGACCCGAGAATAGCACCCAACATTGTGGCAATAATAGTCTATTGACTACAAAGAGCTTAACTCAGCCCTAAGAAACACATGGATGCCTTCTCCTAAGAGGCAAGTTTAGTATTATGGAGACAAATCTCTTTTGCTGTAGACATCGGGAGTGTTGTTCCTCAGCTCCAGAGAATGTGCCGGAGAAGTCAGTTTCGGTCCAGCTGGCACCACATGGCATTTACGAGTTTCCATTGCATCCCGTAGCATCAGCTTTATCCAAATGTACAGGGTTGTGTCCATTGTGAGAACTTTAACAAACAATGAGAGAAAATGCAATACAGGATGACAAATGTTTAAAACAAAACAGAAAGCCCTAAAGCCAGAGGACAGCCAATGGGGACATAAATATCTTTTTGAGACTGACCTTACCCAGGCTTCACATTTGTAAGTACAGCATTAAAAAGTTTTAACATCCCATTGATATCTATTTTATTATATATTAAATTACATCTGTTTACCTTTTGAAAGCCATATCATTTTATAACCCCATAGATTAAAACAAGATTTTCCTGTAGAAAAACAAAACCTGTCAAGAGGTAAGGAGGCTTTAGGTGTGTTTGCTTCTCTCTGCAGTTATCTGCACAAAACGGTC